CCTGGAGTCAGATATACCTGACACTCTGTGAACAAAGATTATGCTTTGGGTTTTAAAGTTAGTATGTTAGAGTAATTTTATTGTACTTGCAGATACATTTTACATGAAAATGTGCATCTTAATATATTTCTAATATTAAGGAACTCAGCACTTATACAGCTTGAGTTGGCTGTATCTTGCTGGATTAGTGAGGGAAACAGTGGGTTAATTATCAAGGTAAATAAACAACTTTGCATGAATACTTTCCTACTACAAATATTTTAACAAATGTGTTTTTTTCTAATAAACATTTTTAATCTCAATGTTACAAGTCAACATTTTTGAAACTATTATGACAAAAATGTTAATATTACAGGAAAATGAATCTTCTTAGCAAACAGATGTGCACAGAAACTCAACTTTCTGAAGGCAAGTCATAAAATAAGTATAGATTGAACTCAAATTTTATGGTAATTGGTATGCAAATATTCCCCAGTGTTCTCCTAATCCATCTAACGAGATGTAATGGCTAGCTTATTGCTTGTCTTCTCAAAGCACCTGTGTCAACAGACTCCCATTTTTTTTTCCAGGTTCTTCCTTAGCTGCTAGGCAAAGCCCATGGCTTCTGCTTCAGTAATATTTCCTAGCCAAAGCTGAACATGGGCGTATTTATTTCTGCTTCTACAGCTGGAATCCGAATATTTTTGCCCACTAGCTGTGGGAGGCACCAGAACCTACGGGAGCTCTCCGTGGTGCTGGCCATGACAGTAGCTGTGAGCCAAGCTGCCCTTCCTCTATCCTTGGTCTCACCTTGGATGCCCTTCATGACTCTAAGGCCAGCACTGATAGTGACTCAGATTCTGGCTTAATCATCATGGCCTTGACCTCCATCCTGGCCTTTTCCCTGTCCTGAACGCTTCCTGTCCTTCCTTACTCTGAAGAACACTGATTGCTACTGTGCTCCTCCTGGACCCGTTTAGCCAGTACCTCCCTTTCTGCTCACTCTTGCAGCCCCTCCCTGAAGGTTCACCAGAAGTTTCAGGACTCCTCTATAGCAAATTCCCTCCAAGGGCCATTTTCTTTCCTTCTTTTTCAGACCTTTCCATCTTTTCATATCCCATCAGCAAGTCATTCCATTCTTCCATGTCCTAGACCAGAGCCAATGGCTGAGCTAATATTGTTCTGTGTCAGTTCTGAGTCCCATATCTGAGTCTCACCTCTCCAAATAAACTGGGTTTTTGGGACAGGGCACCTCTCCTCACTGCATCCTCTTGCTGTTGTTGGCACAGAGCTGGACACACTGGGGGCTCTGGCTGCTCAGACTTATTGGATGATTGATTACTAATTGCTAATGGCTAATTCCAACCTGGTATGAGGGGCTGAGCAGAGGCTGCAGTCTTCTCCACATCCGTCTACCTGCAGGAGTCTCTGTCTGTCTTGGGCATGGATACTGTGCTGCCCAAGTGTGTAAATTAAGCAATAATAGAGCTGCAGAAGCATAAGCCCTCGATGATGGGGAATGTGTTTGTCTGCTAAGAAGCAATTTCAGCGAAAATTAACTCCATTTCAATGGAAAGAGTGAGGCTTGGCATAAGCTGGCCAATCCCAGAGGACAATAAAATTACTTTGTCAAAGCTCTGCTTGCTTAAATTAACCAAGCGAGCACTCCAGGATCCTGGCTAGATACAGCAAGTAACTAGGTTTTAATGAACAAAAATAGCTTCTTGGATAAATGAGAAAAATAAACCACAGCCTACCTCTAGCACAAGCACACATGGTGGCTGTCTCAAGGACACTCCCCCAAGGTTATGCACGGCCACAGCATAGTATCCTGTGCAGTGTAGTACCATCTACACTGTTGGCATTGGCTGTGCATCCTTGGGACTTGTTCTTGGTCAGTGATGTCCTATCTGCTCTATCTATGCTGGCTTTGCCCTTGAGGACTACATTCTTGGCCATAGTGTCCTGGGCAGTGAATCCTTTTTGGTTTTAGCCTCATGACTTTGGCCTGGCCACCCAGGTCCTGGGAAACACTGGCCATTTCCCCCATGACTGTCTTTTTGGCCAGCTACATCCAGGACAGTTGCCCATCTTCATCTTATCTTCTATACTGTGTCCTTAATCCAGCTTGCCTGGTCGACTGTGTTCTGAACAGCTGCTGTACTGATCATGCCATCTAGATCTATGACACTGGCTGGCTGTGCTTTGGCCTTAGATGTCTAGGTCCACCTGATTAGGCTATTGATGACTGTGTCCTGACTGACCACATTTTGGAAAGTTGTCTATACAGAATGGTAAAACATCTGGTCAAGCCCCCTCTCCATGTTAAATTTTTTTCTGATTACTCTTCGTGTACATCTATATCATTCAGAATTCCACCAGAGAAGTAGAACTAGTAAGACGTGTGTGTGTGTGTGTGTGTGTGTGAGAGAGAGAGAGAGAGAGAGAGAGAGAGAGAGAGAGAGAGAGAGAGAGAGAGAGATTGACTTATTAGTACTAGGATACATTATTTATATGTATATTATTAAAGGATCATTAACACTAGGAAATTTATTGCGAGGAATTGGCTTATGTGGCTGTGAGGACTGCTGGCAAATCTGGAATGCACAGGGCAGGCCCTCAGGAAGGGCCAAATGGAAGGAAATTGCAGCAGGCACTGAAGCTACTGTCCACAGGTAGAATTTCCTCTTCCTCAGAGAAACTTTCGCTCTGTTCTCAAAGCTTTCCACTGATTTGATGAGGCCTATGCGGCTCATTTGGGATTATCTCCTGTACGTTAAAGTCAACAGATTGCAGATGTTAACCACATCTACAAAAGGCCTCCCAGCAGCACTGGGGCCTATGTGTAACTGAATCACTGGGCATTTCATGTGAGAAGGACTGCCACCGCTGGTCCCCTTGTTACGAAGGTGGGTCTCTTTATTGTTCATCTGGATAAGGTAGAGTCTTATGATGCTTGGTAAGGACAATTTTGTCAGCCATGGTTGGAGGAGGGACCTGGGGTTTTGATCAGCCCCTCTCCCTCCCTGACACACCCACTAAGCATTGTCCATCTCTACATGACTTTAGGGATGTTTGGTGTCACTGTTGGTGAGCACCCTGGTCTCCAAGTCGAATTTTCTGTTAATCTGAACTTTCCTTCCATGTATATCACGTGGCTGTGCCCTGCCCACACTTCTGGGACAATTTAGAAAGAACATGGACTTTGTTCTTAGCACACCTCTGACACAGAGAGCCAAGCTTGCCTTCACAGCATGGCGACATTTGTATCTGTGGCTCTGATGCAGTGAATACCACAGCCATAGAGGAATCTGAGTCTGTCCACTGCCTGCAGTTCCCTCCTCTCTTCCGTTCATTCATTTATTTGTTCATTCACTCATACAGTGAACACTGTCACGTGGCCACCACAAGCCAGGCCCTGCTCTAAGCCCCAGAGACCCAGCAGTGAACAGAGTACAGAAATGCCTGCTCTCAGGCTTCCATTCTCTGGGGAGAGGGAGTTCATGAATGAATGAGATCTGCCTGGAGGTGAGAAATGCTGTGGAAAATCATAAAGCAGCATTTGAAGGACAGAGGATACCTGGGGAATAATCCCCCCCCACCACCCCGATTAAGCCAGGTGGTTAGAGTATGTCTCTCGAGAAGGGAACATTTCAACAAGAAGGGGAAGAAGACAAGAACCAAGCCATGCTGTTATGAAGTAGGCTGGGGACATTCCAGCCAGAGTCCAAGGCTGGAGAATGTTTGGCACAGTTCAGGGACAGCGGTGCTAGGCCAATTTAGATTGCATGAAGGAGAGAGAGAGGAACAGCTAGGGAAGAGGAGGTCAGAGAGGCAGAGCAGATAGGGTTTGACAGCCACTGTGAGCCTGGTTCTGCTCTGAAGGAGACAGGAGCTATAAGAGCGTGCGGTCACTGGGATGTGTCCCCTTCAGACAGAGCTGCTTAGTACCTGGTCAGCATTGCTGTCTTCCAAGGACCCAGCCAAGCTGTCCCCAGGCATCACACTCTGCTGAAAGGAGCTGCCTCTGCCAAGGCTCCCTATCCCCTGGAAAGTACAGGGCTGAAAGGCCCAGCCTCTTCCCCTCAATATGGGACATGTTCTAAACCCACTCCAGCCCCAGAGCTTGGTAAGTCTCTCAGAGGCCTTCAGTGAAACCACACTGCAGTCAGCCTCCTCTGCCCAGTTCTCTGGCCTCCTGGGGAGGCTCCCCGAGTCCCTGTGCTACCTTCCATACCAGGGACGCAGCCCCCTGTGCTCTTAGGAATGCATTGATTTGGTCTTTAGTTTTTCCTGCACACCACTCCACCAGCACTCTGTTCAGCACACATCTCTGAGTGACAGTGTGTGATTACTCCTTTTCTTAGGGTGAGGACCAACAGTGATCTCCCTGCTATGGTGTATTTCTGGGTGTTCATGCTGGATTTCCCCACTCACAGAAGCAGACTCTTACTGGAAGGGAATTGGAATAACTCCCCCACAGAGATTCCATTTACAGGTGGTATTGATAGCAGGAAATGACTGTCTGTACCACAAGGACTTACCACGTCCCCCACCTTCACTATGACCATAGCTTGCATGCTACCCACTTCTTGGTGGAGAAAGTGCAGCTGGCAATAAAAAAAAAACAAAAACAGGCATGGTCTGATTAGAGACATGCCTGCAGCCCCACACAGCCACCCCTGTGAACTGTCCTGGCAGGCCTCCAATATGCTGCTCCCACAGAGAAGTCTATCTTGGAGTGCTTACAATATACAAACAACAGATCACATTAATAAGAAAAGATAAGCAATCAAATAGGAAAATGGCCAAAGGATATGAATTTCCTGAAGAGGCAGTAGATAGGCCAACTGCCATAAGAAAAGCTGTTCAACCTTATGAGTAATCAAATTAAATGCAAAATTAGATCAACCACAAGATATTTTTAAATTTTATTTATTTTACTTTAGGTGCATACTATATCTGGCATTTCTCCCCATGTTATCCCTCTCCACCCTCCCCTCCCTCCCTACCCTCTGCTGTCTCTTTATTCACCTCTGTAATTGGCAAAAAATATTTTGATAATCTCATGTGCTGTCAAGGTGAAAGGAAATTGTTCGTTCTTGTGCCCTGTGAAAATGCATGTGTCTCAGGGCCCAGCAACTTTACTTCTGGTTTTGGTTCCCCAGAGAACCCCTGGTGCCTAAGGAGGCACATACAGGGATGTTGCAAGTGGACGCTGGAAATAAGGGTATTTCCAACAACTGGAGAACAGCTAACTAAGATGTTCTTAACATCTTATGCTCATGCAATAGACTATTGTACAATTTAAAAATTGAACTTAAATCTACATCTACCCATATCAACATGGAAGAATATTTTTGAGGTCTGGAAGGACACCACCAGCTTCATAAGAGTAATTGCTTTGGGGAATGCATGAGAGTAAGCGTTGGTCAAAGGGAATTTGGGGTTTATCTGGAATCTTTCAATTGTCTTAAAAGAGCATATTGATGTATTTCTTGTCTTGTGTAATAAGAAGGTAACATTTGGAGTCTGTCTTGGGCATACATTTTCCTCCCCCACTGTCTTGTCTCCTGAACTGAAGCAGGGACCTTCTCTGCATTCAGCACCAGTTAAAGTACAATCTCCTCATACCCACCATCTCATATTTTTATGAGACACTCAGGGCTCTTCATATCATGCCCATTTTTGCCCTGCCAACCACCCCACAGACCAGCATGGAGCACATCTAAAAATACTTCAGACCATGCCACTAGCTATTGCTGGGGAACAAACTGCCCCAAAACTTCATGACTTAAAACAATCACCAATTATTTTTGCCACAGACATTGGGGAGTTGGCTGGGAAATGCTTGTGGTTTGGGCCAGGTCTGTCTGAACTTGGCTGGTTCGCTCTGTGTCTGTAGTCAATGAGTGGGGGACCAGGAAGCTGGCTGGCCTGCAGTGGCCTCACTCCCATCAGCTGGAGCAGCAGGAGTAGCAGGCCCTGGATGGCTCACTCTCTGGTGGGCTGGCCCAGGGTTGTCCAAGCGACAGGCACAGGCATCCAAAAGCAAGTGGAGTGAGTATAGTCTCTTGAAATCTAGCTCAGAGGTGGCACTCTATAGTTCCCATCACATTATGTTGGCCAAGTCTTGGCTCACAGGGTAGGAAAATAGACTCATCTCTTGATGGGAGGTGCTGCAAAGTCACAGGCAAAAGGCAAGGCTTCAGGCAGGAGTGAAAAGTAGTAACCATTTGTTTCAACCAACACTAAGAGGGCCATGCTCCTTGGCCATGTTGTTGGTCCGCATCCCTTATGACCCCCAGTGAGCACACAATCCATGCATTTATGAATCTAGAATACACCCTGTGACAGCCGCTGTGGCTTCCACCCCTGCAGTGTCCTGGGCTGGTAGGCCTAAAGGTGTTAAAAACCACTTAAGAAAGACCCACCAGGACATTCTCTAGGGTAGCAAGAAAAATGTAAGATTTTTTTGCAGACCTCACACCAGGTCGTTGCAGATGTCAGGAGCCTCCATTCTGCTCATCCTACCTCCCCATACACAAACCCTCTCAGGGGAAGCAAGAGAGCTCTCCAGAGTAATGGAGGGACTCTCCTTTAATGCCATGGCATATGACCTCTGCGCTCCTTCTACCATCCGTGTGCACCCTGTCTCCTACTCTTGCTGTACCTGGCTGCCCTCTATCCAGGAGCCAAGTGGGGAAGCTGCATGTGCTTTCCTAGAAGGCCTGGCACATCACCTTGGCCAGCTGCTACTCCAGAAGGACCTCGACTGAATTGCAGCTAGCTAGGGGAATCCCCAACCAGCCCTAAAGTTCATCCGGGTTCTCAGGGCCAGCCAGCAGAGAAGCCCATAATGCAGATCCAGGGAAGGCAGCCTCCAAAGGAGTCCATACCCGGTTCCAGTCTTATTGCCCTGGGCAGCCCCTCCTGCCATACATTGCAATTGACTGTTCTCTGCCATTTACAGATCAGTTCCTCCCCGCTTGGCCCACTCAATGCTGCCATGGAATTGACTAGGATGGCTGAAAGTATAGCTTAGTGAGAAACACCAAATGCTACCCTCCCCCCAGCCTTTCTAGAACAAGTTCCTTCAGTCACTCCATGGTTAATATTTGACCTTTTGAGTCAGATTTGAAAGGAACTGGCAGACCCGTCTGGACTGGCCAGGGAGGATGCCTGGATCTAGAAGCCCTGCCTGCCCTTATCTCTGCCACCCATTCCTCATGTGTCCTGAGTTGATGCTTGCACATGGGAGGCACTTTGGGCCTTGCATGGACCTTCTTCTCATGGCCCAAGAAGAAATCTTGGGTGTAAGAGACTAGAGTCCTGTGCCAAAAACCAGGACTTGGGTTCAAATCTCAGCTCTACCACTTATTAGCTGTGTGACCTGTAGCAACTGTCTTTACCTCTCTGAGCCTAAAAAAAAATTGGTGTGAGTAGAAAGTGCCCAATAAATATCTGTGACCTCTAGATATAACTGTAAAGTCTCCATCTGCCATGAATTTTCTTTAAACCAAGGTTCCATGACTTCCAAAAGTTTGGGAATCCCTGGTGTAAACAGTTTCTTTTTATAAGTTTTTGGCCTGCTTGCTGTTCAAAATATGAATTGCAGAAGGAAAGGTGAAAAGAGAAATAGCCCAGAGGGAAAAAAAATCTGCTGCATTAGGGCAAACTGCTGGGTGACAGCTTTGAAATGAAGCCACAGGGCTGTTAATTGCATTCACTTTGCCCCAGGGCCTGTGCTCTTCTCTCTTCTCTGGTTTCGGATCAATGTGAGGGATGGCGAATGGGATTAAGGAAGGCAGACTTTGATTAGGCCATCAGACAGGTAAAAAGGTATTGAGCTGACTCCAAGTGACTTGTCACTAGATACAATTAACTAGTGCAATTCTGTGTGTGTGTGTGCATGTGTGTGTATGTGTGTGTTCTTTGCCCCTCTCTCTCTGTCTCTCTCCTCTCTCCCTCTTTCCTTTGGCCACCACTTTATACCATTTGATAAAGCACGGGCATTTGCACAAAAAACTTACTAGGGACTTCCTCTCAGAATCCAATGTTGAACATGTAACCAAATTTCCATAGTGGTGGACTTTGGGGCCTCTGTTCATTTCACACATGTTTACTGAAAATCTACTCTGTGCTGAGCAAATCTTACAGATGATAGAGATAGAGCAGGGAACAAAACAGATGGTGCTGCTGTCCTTATGGTGCTTCTGTACCCTGAGACCCAAACAGGCAATTGACAAAGAGTAAACATCTCACATCAAGTAGTCATGAGCAATATGAAGAAAGTAGTCAGGGCAAGAGGATGGAGAGTGAAAGGGAAACTATTCCAGATAAGATAGATGGTCATGGTAGCTCACAGTGTCCTCAGTCAGTGAGCATTTCCCAAGCACCTACAGCATGTCTATCTCTGGATGGGAGCTCTGGGGAATTCTAGAGAAGAGACACGAGCCCTACTCTACAGCTTTGCTGGGGAAGCAAAGCTCGTGTACCCAAGAGTGAGAGACGTCTGAGACAGAACACCTGGTCAGACTGTGTAGATTAAATGTAAGACTACACACAGGAGAGGAAAGCCAACAGTGCATTTTGTAAGTTTGGAAATTGGAGGAAAGAGGGTAACACTGATGAAACAGAGCAGTTGGAAAAAGGGAGCCCTTTTTTTCTCCTGTACACAGGGTAAAGGAGAACTCAGATTTAAATGTATTGAGCCAGAAGTGAAGGAGGTTAGCAATTGCTGACATAGCCCTAGCTATGGATGAGCAGCTGCAATTCTGGCACAGACTTAAAGATTTACAAGCATCTTATTATGTTAGGTTTGCTCAAGTTTGTGAGAAAACTGGGATTAAATCAAGCAATAATTATTGGCAAACAATCTAAGTTAATGAATGATGCACATAAGTGTGCCTGAGGGTTTCATTTCTTTAAATCTTGATCTAAATGGTGACTTTGATATGCGCCAAGCCCTACATCAGGCACTTCACATGAATGATCTCTTTTAATCCCTGTTACAAAAGCTGAAGTAGTACTATTATTATCCTTATTTTGTAGAGAAAGAATTTGAGGTTTGGGGAAACAACATAACTTGCCAATGTTCTTTTCCTTAATTAAGAACCCATTGAATACTTACAGACACAGTTAGTAAAATACAGGACCAGGATTCAGACCTAGCTCTGTCTGATTCTAAAAACATTGTTCTGATCCATTGCACTAAAACTGTTTTTCATAAATAAGTTTCATTTAAAAAAAATACAGTAAACACTTATGCTGAGTTAAACTCACACAATTCTGCTTTGTTTTGTAACAAGCAAGAATTACAGAAGAATGTCCTATAACTCAGGGTAAATGTGGCATGATGGTCTGTTGCCCCCAGTAACAGGCCTAGTGCTGGTAAAGAAACTGCAGCTTCCAGATTTTTTACTTTTTAAGATGCAAAGCTGAAGAGTGACAGCAGATATACCTCTGCTTTGCTTGAGATAGGCACCTTTCTGATAGGGTTTGTGACAAAGTGCCTTGCTCAGGAAAAATGGCTACAGAGGCTGGCCAAGCAGAAATTTTGGTAAATACAATAAAATAAAGCAGGATCCCAGAATCTCCTACTCCAATACCTAGTGAAACAAATTAAAATATTAAAAACAAAAGAGAAAATCTATTTAAAAAGTAAAAACCGATTAGCCGAAAATACAGAAAGCATGTCATGAAATCACTTTTACCTGCCCATGCCATTGTAGGTAGACTCACCAAGCCCAGTGCCACTGCAGATCTTGAAACAATCTTGTAACTTGGCTCCAGTTCCTCTCCACTGTTGTCTCAAAGCACTGTCTTGTCATCCCAAGGGCCAGAGGGAGACCTGCTTGTCTGTACCACCAGAGACAAGCCTGCAGACCTTAATCTCGGCTGTGGACTCTTAAACATGTTTATAACTCAGTTCCAGCCCCTCTCAGCCATGACCTGAGGCCAGTACTGCCTGCCCAGGGACCCATCCACTGACTCAGTTGAAGGCTTCCAAGGAACTTGAAGGAAGACAGACCTATCCACATACTTAGTAACAGACCCACTATCTGTGGACCCTGAATCAGACTCCCATCCCAGCACCAGCCCCTACTTACCAAGGTCCTAAAGGCAATCCAGTCCACCCAGGGACCAGACAAGATCTACAATCCTTAAAACCCCTGGTAACAGGCTGCTGATTTTTTTGCCAGGACAAGAGCCCACTGGCTGCAGACTCCACTGCAGACCCAACAGCATCCACATGACTCAGGTGAAATCCCACTTGGCGACAACACTAGAAGCAGTCCCATGAGGTCAGGGACCCAGTGGGAGGTCTTCATCTGCCAAAACTAGTCTATAAAGACTAAAGAGGTGTTTCCTCTTTCAAATTCCTAGACACCAACACAAGGCTACACAGATGACAAAGAATCAAGCAAGTATGACACCACCAAAGAAACTAATAAAGCTTTAGTGGTTGGCCCCAAAGAAATGAATGTCTATAAACTGCCTGAAAAATAATTCAAAATAAACATCTTACAGAAGCTCAGTGAGAGGCAAGACAATACAGACAACTAAATGAAATAAGAAAAACAATGCATAAACAAAAATGAGAAGTTTAATAAACAAACAGGAACCATTAAAAAGAACCAAACAGAAATACTGGTGCTAAAGAATATAATGAAAGAACTAAAAAATACAAGAGAGTTTCAACACCAGTTTCAATCATGCAGAATAAATAATTAGTAAACCCAAAGACAGGTCATTTGAAAATAGCCAACAAGAGAAGCAGAAAGAAAAATGAATAGAAAAGAGTGAAGCATAAGAGTCCTATGGGACACTATCAAGGGGATAAATATACAAATTATGGGAGTTTCAGAAGGAGAAGAGAGAGAGAAAGGGACAGAAAGCTTATTTAAATAAATACTGGCTTTAAAAGAAAAAAGTTTCCAAATCTTGAGAGAGACATCCAGATCCATGAAGCTCAAAGGATCCCAACAAAAATCAACCCAAAGAAGAATATCCCAAGGAACATTCTAATCAAATTGTCAAAAGACAAAGAGAATCCCAAAAGCAGCATAAGAAAAGAGACTCATCAATTACAAGGAAACTCCATAAAGCTATCAGAGGACACCTCAGCAGAAAACTTGGAAACTAGCTGGGAATTAGACAATATCTTTAAAGTACTGAAGAAAAAACCCTGCCAACCAAGAGCACTACACTCAGCAAAGCTTTCATTTCTGAAGAATAAGGTCCCTCTATCCTTTCAACACTCACATCTAAAGGATAAAGTCCCTCAGCTTTTATTTGTCTGAGACAATTTGGTTTGCCCAGATGAATAAAAGCTGAGGTACTTTATCTCCATGAGATCTGCCTTATAAGAAATACTATAGAAAATTCTTTCAGTTGAAAAAAAGTGATGCTAAGTAACAACATAAAAACATATGAAAGTATAATACTTACTGGCAAAAACAAATATATAGTCAAATTAAGAATATTCTAATGCTATAATGATGACATATAAGTCACTTTTAACTCTAGTGTAAAAGTTAAAAACAAGACTATTTTAAAACCCATAGATTTAGTAATTGGCTAATGGATACACAATATAAAAAGATGTAAAGTATGACACCCATAGCATAAAACAAGGGGGAGCAGTGAAGAGGTAAAATGTAGTGTTTATATGCAATTAAAATTGTTATAAGATCAAAATAGATATTATAACCATATGATATTTTAGGTGAGCTTCATGGAAACACAATGAGAAGATCTGTAGTAGGTACACAAACAATAAAGAAAAAAGAATCAAAACATATGGATAAAAAAAACATCAGCAGATCACAAAGGAAGACAGCAAGAGAGAACAGAGCAAAAGAACTACAAAACAGTTCAAATACAATAAACAGAATGGCAATAGTAATTCTTTCCACATCAATAATTACTTTAAATGTAAATGAGTTAAATTTTCTAATCAAAAGACACAGTATGGCTAAATGAATTTTTAAAACAACAATTAATATCCAACAACATGCTGACCACAAGAGGCTCATTTTAGCTTTGAGGACACATAGAGACTGAAAGTGACGGGATGGAAAAGATATTCCATGCCAATGATAACCAAAAGAAAGCAGAAGTGCCTCTACTAATACAAGACAAAATAGACCTTCAGTCAAAAACCTGTCACAAGTGACAAAAAAAGGTCACTATATAATGATAAGGCTGTCAATTCATCAAGAGGATACAATAATTGTAAATATTTGTGCACTCCACATTGAAGAATCTAAATATATAAAGCAAATATTAATAGAGTTAAAGGGAGAAATGGACAATATAGAAATACTAGGGGACTTCAATACTTTACTTTGAACAATAAATATGTCATCCAGACAGAAAATTAATAAGAAAATAGTGGCCTTGAATAACATGTAAACTGAATGGACCTAATAGACATTTATAGAGCATTCTACAAAACAGCAGTGAAATATATTTCCTTCTCAAGAACACATGAAACATTCTCTGGGCTAGATCATATGCTGGGACACAAAATTAAACAACACACTACTGAACAACCAATAAATTGGAGAAGAAATAAAAAGGGAACTCAATAAGTATCTTGAGACAAATAAAAATGGAAACATAACATACCAAAACTTATGGTATGCAGCAAAAATATTTTTATGGAGCCATCTAGAGTAGTAAATGCCTATTTTTTAAACAAAAGTCTCAAGTAAACACCCTAACTTTACACCTCAAGGAACTAGAAAAAGAAGAAAAACTAAAACCCAAAGTCAACAGCAGGAAGGAAATAAAGATTAGAGATGAAATAGAGACTATAATGACAATAGAAAAGATTAATAAGATTAACAGATGCTTTCTGGGAAAAATGAAGTTGAAAACATAGCTAGACTAACCAAAAAGAGAGAGGGGGGGAATCAAATAAACAAAGTTTTAAATGAGAAAGGAGATATTATAACGGATGCCACAAAAATACAAAGATGCTAAAAGACAACTATGAACAATTATGTACCGGCAAATTTGATAACTTAGAAGAAATTAATAAATTTCTAGAGACATGCAATCTACCAAGACTGAATCATGAAGAAATAGAAAAGCTGAACAGACTAACAACATGTAAAGAAATTGAATCAGTAATGTAAAACCTCCCAACAAAGAAAATTCCAGGACCAGATGGCTTTATAGGCAAATTCTACTAAGCATTTAAAAAATAATTAATGCCAACCTTTCTCAAACTCTTCCAAAAAATTGAAAATAAGGAAATACTTCCAAATCCATTTTATGAGGCCACCATTACCATCATATCAAAGCCAGCTAAGAACACAACGATAAAATAAAATAATGAGCCAATATCCCTGATGAACATAGATGCAAAAATCCTTAACAAAATACTCACAAACAGAATTCAACAACACATTAAAAAGATCATTCATCATGATTAAGTGGGATTTATCTGTGGGATACAAGTATGGTTCAATTTATACAAATCAATAAATGTGACACACCACATTAACAGAAATCATATGAACATCTCAATGAACGCATAAAAAGTGTTCAACAAAGCCAGGCATGGTGGCTCATACCTGCAACCCCAGCACTTTGGGAGGATGAGGCAGGTGGATCATCTGAGGTCAGGAGTTCAAGACCATCCTGGCCAACATAGTGAAACCCTGTCTCCACTAATAATACAAAAATTAGCTGGACATCATTGCACACACCTGTAATTACAGCTACTCAGGAGGCTGAGGTGGGAGAATCACTTGAACCCAGGAGGCAGAGGTTGTAGTAAGCCGTGATTGTGCCATTGCACTCCAGCCTAGGTGACAAGAGTATTCAAAAAAATTTAACATTCTTTCATGATTAAAAAAAAAACCTCTTAACAAATTAGGTTTAGAAAGAATGTATCTCAACATAATAAAGGCCATATATGACAGGCCCAAACTAATATCACATTCAAGGGTGAAAAGCTGAAAGCTTTTCCTCTAAGAACAGGAACAATACAAGGATGCCCATCCTTGACACTTCTATTCCACATGGTACTGAAAGTCCTAACCAAAGCAATAAGGCAAGAAAATGTAATAAAAGGCATCCACATTGGAATGAAAAAAGTTAAATTGTCTGTTCCAGTTGGCATGATTTCAGATGACATGATCTTATATATAGAAAACCTTAAAAGAATCCACCCCAAAACCATTAGAATAAATAAATTTAGAAAACTTGTAGAATACAAAATCAAAATACAAAAATCAGTTGTATTTCTATATATCAACAATAAATTGTCTAAAAAATAAATTAAGAAAGCAATCTGATTTACAATGACATTACAAATAATAAAATACTTAGGAATGAATTTAATCAAAAAAATTGAAAAATCTCTACACAGAAAAGTGTAATACATTGAGGAAATAAATTGAAGAAGACATGAATAAATGGAAGGATAGTTGGTCCATGCTTTGGAAAAATTAATATTGTTAAAATGTCCAAACTACCCAAGCAATCTACAGATTCAATTCAATCCCTGCAAGGATCCCAGTGTCATTTTTCACAGAAAGGGAAAGAAAAATCTTAAAATTTGTATGGACCCGAAAGAGCCAAAACAATCTTGAGGGAATAAAAACAAAGCTGGAAACATCACAGCACCTGATTTCAAAATATACTAAAAAGCTATAGTAATCAAAACAGCATGTTAGTGGCATAAAAAGAGATACAGATGCCAATGGAAAGAATAAAGATCCCAGACATAACTTCATGCATTTGTGGTCAATTGATCTTTGACAAAGTTGCCAAGAACATAAAATAGAGAATGAACAGTTTCTTCAATAAATGATGCTGTGAAATCCATATGCAAAAGAATAAAATTAGACCCTCATCTCATACCACATACAAAAATCAATTTAAGATGAATCAAAAACTTAATGTAAGATCTGAAACTGTAAAACTACTAGAAGAAAACAGGGGGAAAGCTCCAGGGTCCTGGTCTGGAAAAGGATTTTTTTGGATATGGCCCCAATGGCACAGAAAACATAAGTAAAATAGATCAAAGAAATTGCATTGAACTTAATAGCTTCTGCACAGGAAAGGAAACAATCAACAGAGTGAAGAGGCAAGCTATGGAATAGGAGAAAATATTTGCAAACTCTATATCTGATAATGAATTAATATCCAAAATACATAAGGAATTCAAATAACTCAATAACAAGAAAACTAATAGCTTGATTTAAAAGTGGCTGAAGGATCTGAATAGGCATTTCTCAAAAGGGACATAAAAATGGTCAAGAGGTGTATGAAAAGTACTCAACATCACTAATCAGGAAAATGCAAATGACAACTAAGATGAGATATCATCTCACACCTGTTAGAACGGCTATTATAAAAAAGATAAAAGATAACAGGTACTAGCAATGATATGGAGAAAAGGGAACCCTTGTACACTGTTGATGAACAACAGTGAATTAGTACAGCCATTATTGAAAATAGTTTAGAGTTTTCTCGAAAACTAAGAATAGAACTACTATTTGATCCGACAATCTCATTTCCAGGTATATGCCCAAAGGAAGTGAAATCAATATGGTGAAGAGATATCTACCCTCATTCATTGTAGCATTGTTCACAATAGCCAAGATATGAAATCAACCTAAGTATCCATCAACAGATGAATGGATAAAGAAAACATGGAAAATAGACACATGGTACAATGCGGACCTAAAAAAGAAGAAAATCCTGCCATAGATGAACCTGGAGGACATCGCGCTAAGTGAAATAAGTCAGTAACAGAAAAACAAATACTACATGACCTCACTTATATGTGGAATCTAAAAAGTTGACCTTATAGAAGCAGAGAGAACAATGGTCATTGCTAGGGACTAGGGGATGAGGAGGATAGGGAGATGTTGGTCAAAGAGACAGGATAAATAAGTTCTGGAGATCTATTTTATGGAATGGTATATAAGGTGCATTATTAGTTAATAATAATGTATGTACACTTGAAAATTACTGAAAGTAGATCCTAAATGCACTCAGCACCCCCCCAAAATGATAAGTATGTGAAGTGATCAAAAACTTAATTGGCCCAATGTAATCATTTCAAAATGCATACTTATATCAAAACATCACATTGTACACTACATAGTCCCATAAAAAATAAAATCAGGTCTCAGGCCATCCTGAGCTTGTCCCCTGCCATTCAAGTCTATGCAGTCTTGAGCCTCCTTGGCAGCCTCTGATCTAGATGTGGTCAGATTGAGGGGCCTCGGGTGGTGTCTGGAACAGATGAGCTTGTGGCTGGACCATGCCCTGTGTAGCTGCACTGGATGAAGGTGAGTAGAGTGTGGCGGGGCTGAGGGGCTTCCAAGCCTTGCTGCATGCAGGAGAAGCTGGAGCCCAGCAGTCACTGGGGGGCACACTCAGCTGAGAAGTGACCCCCATCTCACATTTCGTGGACTCTCAGGAGAGGGAATAGACCAAAGAAGCTTCCCACAGCCACTTTCAGGCCCTTCGCCTGCAGAAAGTAGGATAGAAGAAAACGCCAGGCTTTTCAGAGGAGAAGTGAAAAGAGGTGAGTTGCAGGAGGACAAGGAGTGTTGCAGACAGAGAGGCTGGGTATTGGCTCGTCATCCTCCGTCTGCATGTCAGTTGGGCTAAATTTTTGGCTGCAAGCAGCCGAAAACCCAAATTAACATGGCTTAGCTAAGAGACTTTATCACCCTCCCCAGTAGGATGATAGGAGAAGCCACAGGTCCCAGAACCTCCCACCTTTCTCCTTTGTCCTTCTCAGCACGTTTCCTTCAGGCTGACTTTTCTCATGATCCCAAGATGGCTGCCAAAATTCCAGGCATTGCAGAGGCAACCTCAGGTCTCCATGGCTGGAATCAGGGCATCTGCTTCTTCTAAGCCCACCTATAGGGAAATGAAATTATTATAATTGGCTTAGGCTAGTTAAGACCCACCCCTCCCCAAGGCTCCATGGAGGACGGTGGAACCAAGCAGGGCTGGGGCTCTAGCCATACAATGGAAGCAATGGAAAGGGGTGGATATGAGTGAGTAAGCAACAAGGTTCACACTACCCTGGTTAGATCAGCTGTCCCAGTACCTTTGCCTAACCATCCAAAAGAGTCCTGCCAAACCTGGGCATGAGGAAAGACAGGCACAGAAGGGGTAGTTGGGAAAGAGTCTCTGTTTAGGAATGTGACAGGCACTTCTCCATAATTGTCAAGATTCAGACTGAGGGGTGTGCTGGGAAAGAGCTGGCCAGTGTGCTGGGACCACAGCAAGCACCCTGGGGCTCAGAGAAGATGGATAAATTCCCTTGAGTTGGGCCTGGGCTCACCTGACCCCAGCCCCTGGCAGGTGGATGTCCTGTCAATCAACTTTCTCATGGGTGCTGCTCAGCCACCCCAGAAACCACAGTCTTGTCTTGACCCTCCAGCAGAGGTGTGTCCACATTCAGGGATGTGGTGGCAAAGGAAGGGCTGAGTTAAGAAGTCTTGATAAGAGGCCGCGGCAGGCCATTGGCACTTCAGGTGTGGTCCTGGATGCCCACTTCCCTCCTGCCTGTGTGAGGTGGCAGCGTGCTGACCCACTGTCACTCACACCCTCCTGATTCTGCACAGCTGCCAAACACCTCTTCAGCTGCCCCCTTCCCTCCTTTCCCTCCCTTCAGACGTTCTCAAATTATGCTTTCTCAAATATTCATTATGCCTTCATTTATACCTCAATTTTCCTTGATTTTTTGCATTTTTAAAATTTACATTAGTGTATACCTAACAGGACACTTTATGTGTCTTCACAAATGGAACTGAGCCTCATTTTCCATAATGCAACTACAAGAAAGCACAATGAAGTCACAATAAAGTTGTTAAGCCCTAATTTGATACCGCAGCCTGGCAGGACTCTAAGCCCCAGGCCTACTCTCTCTTTGTTAGAGCAAAGAGATTAGCAAGTATTATAAAGGTGTTAAACATGCTAGCACCAAATCCAGACGTTCCCCTGGAAGTCATTAGGAGATGGGAAGGATAATTTGTAGGGAAGCAACTTCTTCCGCCACGGAGTCTGATCGCGGTGGGTGCTGGGCTCGGGCCCCTCAGTGCACCTGCTGAGCCGTCTCCCGTGGGGGATGTCAAGGAGGGAACGTGTCCACCGGGCGGGTGAGGGAAGAGAGGAACTGCGGGGAGGCGCATGCGGAAGGGGAGGTGACCTCTGGAGAGGAGCAACCTGGAGTCCGCTGGAGGGGCAAGGGAGCCGTGCTTGGGACGCCTGTCCTCGGCCTCTCAGTGTAGCGGATCCGATGCCCTTGCGCGGAGTTCGCTAGGCTGCAGCACAGTGGGCGCGCGTGGCTGTTACCTGAGACTGGAGGGGCACGGGAGGCACGGACACGCAGGTTCCGGAGGAGGCACAGAGGATGAGCTCCGATTTGGGAGCGACTCCCAGCCCTGGGCAGGGCAGGGGCGCGACTCAGGCCCAGGGTGGAGGCAGGAACGCAGGTGAGGGGTCCAGGGAGGGAGGACGCCGTGATTAGGCGCGGAGCAGCCAGCGCCTTCTTGCAGCCTCAGGACTGTGCCCCACAGCGCCACAGAGCAGGCAGGCAGGGAGAGCGCCTCAGGCTTGGGGCACCCTCTCCTCGGGCAGGGCCCATGGGAAACCCAGGCACAAAGGAGACTCCGAGTTCTCCATCCTCTGTCCACAGGCTTCCAGGCACGTGGGGGACTCTCTTCCCAGCGATTTCCCTTGTACCAGTGTACATCTCCCTCTGATGTTTTCACAAATAGTATGAACACACACACACATACATACGCATATGCAGGCATATACATATATACACACTACATACACATATACACACATGCACGCACTACACACACAGGCACACAAATGCTACACATACACTACATATGTATACACACATGTGCACACACTACACACATATGCACACACATGCTACACCTATATACACCTATAGCCTACACATGTATACGCACATGCACACATACACTGTACACATAGATGCACACATATGTACACACAGACACACATACATATGCTACATACACATCTATACACATACAGTATACACATACACACGACACATACAGACACACACCACACATACTATACACACATGTATATACACACATGCACACAGGTGCACATACACGTGCTACACACATAGACACACATACACGTGCTACACACATCTATACACAGATACACTACACACATGCACACTACACATAAACACCACACACTATACACACATACATACACATATATGCACACACACTACACACACATAGGCAGATATACGCACACTACACACACACACCTACACATGCTACACACATGCACATATATACACAGGCACACATACATACATAGGCACACATACATCCTCAGTCTCAATGTAGTTCTTATTTCTGTGGGTCACAAAGAGGTGGAAAAACATTGCTCCAAGTCATGCTCACTAGAATCACATGAAATGCTGAAACGAGTATTGATTCTGGAGTCAAACAGACCTGGATTCTGGACTTGCCCTAACACCTACCAGCTCTAGGATCTAAAAGAGCTGAGGACCTCTCCTCTCTCACCTCATCTGTGATATAGGGTAGAAATCCACCCTCCCTCAACCCCAGTTAATGTAAAGTGACAATGAAATGGCAGATCAGCCAAAGTGATTTCTAAACAGTTAAGTCCTGTGCAAATGCATGATATTAAGATTGTTAATATTAGACACCAGCCAAGAACCCGTCTTAAGCCATGGTCCAGAAAATCAAATCTTGTTCTTCAATTGCATCTACTTAGCCAGCTGTTCAGTTCGCATATGTTCCCTTCTCTTCCAAAGCCTTAGCCGCCAATTGGAATACAAGATAAAAAACACCATCTGTGCCCCGAGTCCTTCAGTTCCCTGCCCAGGACGTCTCGAGGCCGGGAGATGATTTCCTAGTTTCTTCTGGCATTGCTGTTTTCCCCTGGCTGGCTGAGCTAGAGCAGGGCTAAGAGCCTGGGCAGCCTCTCTGCCTTGCTGTGGACTATTTTCCACTGCCCACCAGACAGTGGGCAGCCTCTCTGCCTTGCTGTGGACTATTTTCCACTGCCCACCAAACAGTGGGCAGCCTCTCTGCCTTGCTGTGGACTATTTTCCACTGCCCACCAGACAGTGGGCAGCCTCTCTGCCTTGCTGCAGACGGTGAATCCCAGCCCTGGCCCCTGTATGGCTGGCTGCAGGGCTGCCGCACGTGGACCCTTCAACTCTGGGGCTTGTTTGCAGTGCTCACTATTGAGTCCTGCCCCATCCTGGGGAGACATATGCCTCTCACACTGGAGACTACATTAAGGGAGCAACTCATAGGAGGGAGAGCAGCAATGACCTCTGCTGGAGGTCTTCCCAGGAGCCTCCAGTTACAGGGTGTAAGATGTAATAGATTGATGCGAACACGGTCCCAATTCCACATCCCTCCCTATGTCCTTGCAGTATGGCTGCATAGTTCTTCCTATCGAGATGTGGGGTCCATTCTCCTGCCCATTCAGTCTGGGCTGGCCGTGAATTGCTTTATCAGTAGAACGGGGTGGAAGTGAAAGTGACACTGTACCAGTTCACGGGCAATGTGAACAAGTTCAGGTGAACCAACTGGTGAACCCAGAAGAGAGCTTGTAGCCTATCTTAGACCAGCTTCCACCCAGCAAACCCTCAAATGGGTGACAGACCCCAGCCTAAATTAACAGAGCTGTCTTGCTGTCCTTCACTGGCTCCAGATGCATGAACGAGCCCACCTGAGATGATCAGAATTGCCCAGCCAAACTTGTACTATGCCCAGACTTGTAATAATGTTTGTGGTTTCAAGCCCCACTGGGTTATTGGGGTAATTGTTGCACAGCAACAGCTAAGTGATACATAAGAGCATGCCCCCCTTCCATAGAGGCACCAGGTGGGAAGGTATGGACTCTGTTAGGTTATTCCAAGGATATCATCCCACCACAATCAGCCTTTGGACAGAGCCTGAGAACCCGGAGGATGAGGTGAGAATCTAGCCCTATATCCTGAAGCCAGGTGGCAGGAAATGAAGGGGAAAGTGTACATACCATCACAGCAAATAGGTTGACACTAATCACCAGACATTCCTGTCCCTGCTCAGAACCCCGCGGCTCCTCTCACCCACCCCAGCTTCTCTCTATCCTAGGTCCCCTCCCACTCACTCCTCCCCAGTCTGCTAAAGAAGTCTCAGCAAGCTTCTTGCTGAATTATGCTGAGTGATTTCTCTCTCCCTCTCCAAGCCAACCAGGTCAAGCCCTGGGTTTGCTTTTACACAGAAGCTCTCCTTGGTGTCCGGCTAGCCTAGTGGTTCCCAAAGAATGGAGCAGTTACCACAGGGGATGCAGACAATGATTGTAGGTGGTACAGGGTCAAACATTTTAAATGCTAATTCTTTTATTTCGATTGTAACATTCTTCCAGTATAGCCATCCCTTGGTATGTGTGGGGATTGGCCCTGAGGAGACCAAAATCTGTGGATGCTCAAGTCCTCAATATGAAATAGCAATGTATTTATATATATACATATATCCTCTTTACATACCTATGTACCTCCTCTTGTATACTTTAAATCATCTCTGGATTACTTACATTGCCTAATATAATGTAATGTGATTTAAATAGTCCTCACGGTGTATTGTTTTATTTGTATTATTTTATTGTATGTTTTTACTGAATTTAAAAATATCTATATCTTTGATCTTTGGTTGGGTGAATCCATGATGCAGAACCCTTGGACATGGTGTACCAATGGCATATTTATCCTTTACCCTTCAAGCTACTATAACAAACAACAGAAATTTATCTCACACCTGGGAACTTCAAGGTCAAGGTGCTGGCAGATTCAATGTCTGCTGAGGGCCCACTCTCTGGTTCTTAGATGGTGACTTCTTACCGTGTCCCTGTACCATGGGAGAGGGGAAATGGGGTGTATCTGGGGCCTTTTGTATACAGGCACTAATGCAACCACAAGGGCTCCACCCTCACAACCTTGTCGCCTCCCAAAGGTACTACTTCCTAACACTATCACATGGGGGATTCCATTTCAACATTTATTTTGAGGGGACACAAACATTCAATCTATAGAAATTATAGCTAGCCCTAGCAATCTTTGATGTACAGTTCCCATTCAAAATAAATGTGTTTAAACGCAACTGGATGCTCAATTGGGAATTTCCATGGAAATGTCCAAATCCAACAGATGCCACACCTCAAAGTGCAGTTGCCCAATTGCCCCCAAATTTCCTTCATCTATTGTCTTTTGATCCAAGATCTTATCAAGGATTTTGTACTGCATTAGACTGATTTTTTTTAGTCTCCTTTAATCTAGAACAGTTCTCCTGATTTTCTGTTGTCGTTCATGACATCAAGGTTTTGAGGAGTCCAGATCTTATGAACGGCCCCTAGATTTGGCTGTGTGCTCATCCTTAGACCCAGGTTAGACACTGGGCAGGAGCTTTCCGTAGGTGGCAGGGGTTCCTGCTACTGTTTTGCCTCGGGAGTCCGTCCCATTACTGGGGGTGCTAAGTGTTATCACTTTGTGAAGGTGGTGTCCCTTAGACTCCATCATACAAAGATGCTTTTCCCCAGTTTTAAATTGACAACTGGTCTTCAGGGTAATGCTTTAAGACTCTGCGAGTGCCAAAGCAGGAGGATCGCTTCAGACCAGGAGTTCAAGACCAGCCTGGGCAACACAATGAGACCCTGTCTCTGAACGGTCTCAATATTACTACAGTCTTATATTCAACCTAATGTGGCCAAGTGCCATGGCTCATGCCTGTAATCCCAGCACTTTGGGAGACTGAGGCAGGTGGATCACCTGAGGTCAGGAGTTTAAGACCAGCTTGGCCAACATGGCAAAATCCCGTCTCTACTAAAAATACAAAAATTAGCCAGGCATGGTGGTGGGCACCTGTAATCCTGGCTACTAGGGAGGCTGAGACAGGAGAATGGCTTGAACCTGGGAGGCAGTGAGCTGGGATCACACCATTACACTCCAGCCTGACAGAGTGAGACTCCGTCTTGAAAGAAGAAAGAAAGAGAGAGAGGGAGAGAGAGAGAAAGAAGAAAGAAAGAAAGAAAAAGGGAAAGAAAGAAAGAAGAAGGAAGGAAGGAAGGAAGGAAGGAAGGAAGGAAGGAAGGAAGGAAGGAAGGAAGGAAGGAAGGAAGGAACAGAAAAGAAAAACCTAATGTGCTTCTTAAGGTTAGTAACCACTCCATGTTGTGGCTGGTCTATCCCAGCAATGAACTTTTCAGTCCTTAAAACTCTCATTCTGCGAAGGTAAACGCAAAGAATCTATTAAGATGTTAACACTGGCAGCTTGGGCAACTTAGCAAGACCTCATCTCTACAAAAATTAGCCAGGCATGGTGGTGCATGCCTATAGTCACAGCTACTCAGGAGATGAACCCAGGAGTTTAAGACTGCAGTGAGCTATGATGGTGCCTCTGTACTCCAGCCTGTGCAATAGAGTGAGACCCCTCTCTTAAAAAAAAAAAAAAAAAAAAAAGTTTTTAAGATAATCTATAGACTTGCTACAGCAAATATTTAGGGCATAAATATGTCTCACAACTTTCTAGAAGCTAATGTGAAAGAGAAATATTATCGGTTACACAATCTGACCTCAAGACTGGCTGCGAACAATGAATGTGGGGTGGGCGTCACTATGAGGACAGGTGTCCTC